TTATTTCACAAGTCCAATCTGCTCCAAACGGAGTGTCGTCTGCAAAATTGATAGAATGCGCGTTCAACCTAATGAAGTCATTGGACAGTTCTTTCGTAAGAATTGCTGAAGGAGGTGATAATTGCGAACAACTAGCTCGACCCTCATCGATAAACTCAAATTTTATCGAGAAAGACTTTGAATACTTAGAAAAGTCTGCATTTTATAGGGTTTTTGATCAAAAGGTAAAATGCGTACACTATTTTTATCTATGACATGTTTTTTGTTCAAACATTAAAACAAATACTGTCAATGGTTTGACGATCTTTTGATGTTAAATTATAAAAGGGTCAGTAGAAACTAAACGGGTCTTGATATACATGTCTGTTATTTTTAAATATGCATTAGTTTATGCATTGAAAGTTTGACATAAGAATATCTTTGTAAAGAAGATAAAATATGAGTGCAATGCCTAAAGGATATACCGGTTATGAAAAAAGCCTTCCTTGTCCTAAAGTTTTTCTTTCTTTCTTGCAGACATCCTTTGAAAATTCATACAATCAAATATATCAACATTACATATACCAAGAGGTAAAAGTTGGAGACAAATTTCATTTCGTGTTTCAAAAGTCGAATACAGACAGGTAGGTTTCATTTGCTATATTTGATTAAGGCGCGTGTCTATATATAATTCTTGACAGTTTATCTTTTATAACATGTTCAATTATCTTTTCAACTTTGTAAAATTTAATATTTTTGGGGGTAAATGCATATTTGTTCGTGCATAAACGTCTACAGAAGCACAAGACCTAGCGCACAGGGATTTAGGAAGTTCGAGTCATTATTTTTGCATAAGATGTATGTCTGATGTGGCAATATTAAATAAAAAAATGGTTTTTGCATGCTTTTCATGCGCAAGTACAATACCATTTGACAGTAACAGTTATGTTTTGATAAAGCAAATGTTTTGATTATTGTAAGCTATTTTTTACATGGCGCCCCGACTTACGCATATGACGCTTTTGTTTTATATTGTTCAATAAAAAGTGTACGCATCTCAATTATACTTCATGCAATGTTCAATTATACTAATCATTAAACTATTAATATTTTGATCTAGGTTAACTATAACATTCAGAGACACAACAAATACAATACAAGCTGTGAAATTCAACGATAATTCAACGCAATTAGTATTAACAAATGTGGGTCTTTCTGGTCAAAATGAAAATGAAAAACTTGCATCTCCTCTCCAGGACTTCAAAATCTACAAGATCAGATTTGAGATACTCCAATATCACTGGAAGGTAAGCGTTTATGGTTATTAAGTTAAGATGTTTTTTTAATTCACTTTGAGTGGCGTCCCTTGTATTTTTTAATATGATGTGATTGAAAAAGATGATATTGACTGTGGCGATTAGCTGGTGTATATGGTATGTATTCACCAGCTAAAAGCTTATATACATTCTTTCTCTTTAAATATAAAATATATTGATAGTTTTACATGGCCTATCAAATTTGTCTTTGAATATAAAACAAGTCAAAATTTCTTCAGTTGTTAACTGTTTTCATATCAATGTCCTATGTTTTAAAGGAAAGAACGGGAACGCTAAATGTGTAATACATTGCCCCCCCCCCCCCGAAAAAAAAAGACGCAAATGATAACAAAAGTGTGAAATACCAAAACTGTTTACCATAAAGTATTTTGTTTTCCTTTTCTGAGAAATTGTCAATGTAAATTGTTTCATCCTACGGGGAATCGTAACGTTTTGTTTTTGCCGCTTATACACTGACCTTTATAGGTCGTATGTGACATATTCTAGACATTATACTTGCTTTCGATATATTTTCCTTAAAAATATTCTTTCAGTCACTATAATTAAAATTTATAACTACCTTAGCATATTAAGTGGATTTAAGTTCTATAACTATAAAAAATTAACTATAAAAAATAACTAACATTTTATTAGATAAAATTGTAAATTGATAATGAATGTATTGGATTTTATTGTATCAATAAATCGGTATATACATATAAAAGGTCTATTTTTAAAATAGTTATTTTAGTGATAGAACTACCCTCTATGGTCATCTCTGACATGTGACACCGTTAGTATACTTAACAGTTACTAATGGTTATAATCTTTACATCGAAACTCTAAGTAAAACTTCCATAAGAAGATGGCGCAGCCCCATAAAATAAAATGGCTCGATCCATACATTCTGAATGCATCATCACGCCTCAGTGAGTTTCAATAATCATAATTCCTCCTTCTCATATGAGAAGAAAGAATAATTTCTCTAGAAGCCAGAAAGCTTATAAAATATCTCAAACGTTCCTAGCGCTTTAAATCTTACTCTCCCGTTAGTTACAACGTGTTTTGTCAAGCGTTGAGCGATGCTTTTTCTTACAATATAATATTTTTTCTTCAATATTTTGCACAACAAGAATATTTCTTCATATCTGATGAATTAATACTTTTTCCCCAGATACCAACATACATACATGTAAGGATGTAACGATAAAAGGAAGAGACTTTTACCAAGAATGAAAGCAGCCCGGGAACAAGGCAAGACTTCATGGATATCCTATGATACCCTCTACATCGACGGAAAACCAATCAGAGACTAGGAATTCGATGGAGATGAACTCAAAATACTCTCTTGGAATATAAATGGTTTAGACAAAACAAAGAGAGACAATATTGAACTTATTAACATTGTTCGTAAACATGATATTATTTTTTTGTTTGAAACATTTGCACACAAAACTAGTGACATAAATTTAAATGGATATGTAACGCATAATTTTTACAGGAAATTTAAGCATCGTAATGCTAAAAGGCCCAGTGGAGGGGTTGCACTGTATTATAAAGAGACGATATCGGATGGTATTACAATTGTTGAAAATAGGTATGACACTTTAATTTGGATAAAATTAGACAAGAACTTTTTTCATAACGAAGCAGATATTTATATTTGTGGTGTCTATTTATGGTGTGAAAACTCCCCCGCTTATAATACAGTAAATGTAAACCTTTTTGATTGTATTGAAAATGACATTACCCATTTTGAAGCCCTGGGGTCAGTATACTTAACTGGTGACTTTAACAGCCGAGTGGGCGTTAAGCACGATTTCATTATTTTTGACAGCATAAATCAATCTTTTGACGATGAATCATATGTACCTGATAAATATATTTACCGGGCCTCACTAGATAAAACATGTAACAGTTACGGTGTAAAATTGATTGATCTTTGTAGATCAACCAATGTTCGGCTAGTTAACGGTAGATTATATAAGGATAATAATGTTGGAATGTATACATATGTCTCTCAAAACGGTGCTTCTGTTATAGATTATGTTTTAACCAATGAGAAAAATTTCACAAATATCAATCATTTTTGTGTTCAGCAAGTTAACGAGTTAAGCGACCACGCCCCTATAGAATTTTCATTACATACTAAGTATCGTATACCTGTACAACAGGAGAAAGTTGATATAAAATATAAATGGGATTCGAACCTAAGGGATACCTTTAGGGCAGGTTTGATCGGCATATTACCTAATCTAAATCAACTGACTACAGAGATAAATACCAGTGATCGACAGGCCGTAAACAGCACTATAAATAGTTTTACCTGTTTAATAAGGGAAGTTGCAGACCCTCTTTTTTCAAGAACATATACAAATAAAATGCATGTTAAATTTTCAGATAGTCAGTCTTTAAAGGATGCTGATTGGTTTGACGCCGAATGCAGAAATTCAAAGAATATATATGTAGATGCCTTAAAGTCGTTTTATATATTGTAAAACCCCAGCAAGTAGGGAATATTTGTGTCAATGTAAGAAAGAATATAAAAATTTAATCCGAAAGAAAAAGAAAACTTTTATGTCCAAAAAATATTCTGAAATTGAACGTTTAAGATTTTGTAAACCCAAACAGTTTTGGGGACAATTTAAAAAGAAAAAGGCTAATGTTTCTAAAGACATTACTCTTGAAGAGTTTAAATTGTTTTTTGAAAATTTATCTAATGATAAATTCAGTTCCAACAATAATGAATGTAATGACTTTTGTAATGAGCACGAATTTAACTGTGATGATTGTACCTATGAAGAATTGAATTTACCTATCACATGTGAAGAAATTAAAAAAGCTGTAAAAACACTTAAGTCAAATAAAGCTGTAGGCTCAGACTGTCTTTTAAACGAATATTTTATTGAGTCTATTGATATTATTTGTTATCATTTGTGTGATATTTTTAATGCCATTTTAGACTCTGGGTTTTATCCAGACAAATGGACGGAGGGTATAATTGTGCCCGTATATAAAAAAGGCGATCCGAAATTAGTTAACAATTATAGGGGAATAACTTTAGTCAGCTGTATGTCCAAGCTTTTTACTTCTATATTAACTAATAGAGTTGAAATATTTTGTGAAAAATATTCGGTTATTTCTGATTGCCAATTTGGCTTTAGAAAGGGGAGATCAACTGTTGATGCAATTTTTATTCTACATTCTTTAATACAACATTATTTAAATGATAATAAACGTTTATATGTAGGGTTTATTGATTTGAAATCTTGTTTTGATAGTATTTGTAGAAATTCATTATGGATGAAACTGTATAAATGTGGTGTACAAGGAAAAATATTACGAATCATTAAAAATATGTATGACAAAGTAAAATCATGTGTAAGATGTTGTAACACATATTCAGATTTTTTCCAGTATGCTGTTGGCCTACGTCAAGGGGAGGTAACTTCGCCATTAATGTTCTCCCTATTCGTAGAAGACCTTGAATTATATTTACAAGATAACTTAAACTCAGGATTATTGATTGATGATATTGTTTTGATTTTATTGCTTTTTGCTGACGATATGGCCATTGTAGGTAAAACTCCTGAAGATTTACAAAACAGTTTAGATCTTTTGTATTCATATTGTTTTAAATGGGGATTAGAGGTTAATACCATGAAAACTAAAATTGTTGTTTTTAGAAAAAGAGGGCGTATTTTTATCAACGAAAAATGGACGTATAACGGTCTGCCAATAGAAGTAGTAGATCACTTTAACTACCTAGGTACAGTGTTCAGCTATACAGGCAATTTTTCTCTTAACAATGAACATTTAACCGGTAAAGCTTTAAAAGCAATGAACACATTATTGATAAATTGTAAAGACATGGATTTAAAACCCAAATTATTATGTAAATTATTTGATTCTTTTGTAGGCTCAATCATATCATATGTATCAGAAATATGGGGTTATAGCAAATCAAAAGATATTGAGCGTATTCACTTGAAATTTTGCAAAAGAATTTTAAATGTTAGAGCCAATACAAGCAATGTCAGTATATACGGCGAACTCGGCCGCTATCCATTGTATATAAATAGATATGTAAGAATAATTAAATTTTGGTGCAAATTGATAAATACTGACAACATAATTTTACGGAAAATATATGAATTAAGTTTATCTGATTGTTACAAAGGTAAAAAGAACTGGGTGTCAAATGTCAAAGAAATGCTAAATATGTATGGTTTATCCGAATACTTTTTTGAAAATAATATTGTAAATATTGATAGTAAATCATTTCCAAAATTATTTAAACAAAGAATTATTGATAATTATATACAAACATGGCATTCATCTTTAGAAAATAATTCTGAAAACAGTTTTAGAACTGTATAAAAATTGTAAAGAATTATTTTCATACGAAAACTACCTTAACATATTGCGTAAGAATCTTAGATTTTACATCACAAGAATTAGAATGTCTGCACATACACTAAGGGTACAAACGGGTAGATATGGGCAAAATAGAATCCCAAGGAGTGAAAGATATTGTTTATTTTGTAATACTATGGATTTGGAAGATGAATACCATTTTGTTTTGATATGCCCATGCTATGTAGACATAAGGAAAAAATATGTGAAACAATATTATTACAAAAGACCATCAATGTGTAAATTTATTGAGCTGATTTCTTCTAATAATAAAATTATACTAATGAATCTAGCTAAATATCTGAGAGAATCGATTAAAATCAGGAACACTTTTGTTAGTACTAACACTTAAATTCTATATTTGTTACAAATTTATACTCAAATTTCAATTGATTTGTTGTATCAAATATGTTTATACTCTGCTTAGGAAATTATATTATAAGTGATGATAATAACCTCTTAATTTTTAATCCAGAATTGTTCATTCTCCAACTTTACATGGAATTCAATATTATATATTAAATCCTTTATTGTTTGTTAAATAGAAACGTGACATATTTACAATGTGTGTATTTATATTGCAGTGATGATGTACTATGTACAAATCCTAAATAAAATTATGTTCTGTTCTATGTTCTATTGGTACAAAATTGACAAGTAAACATTCACAACAAAGTTAGAAAATATACATCGTAATAAAATGCAGAAAATTTGGATTGATATTTAAAATGACTTTGTTCTTACAGATCACAGTAAACGACAAAGTGCTTCCAAAAATTAACCATCACGGCTTGATTACAAACATCGAAGTGATCTTTGTCAGGTTAGGTCCTTCGATAAAATATCTGTCAAAATATTTCAATCCAAGAAATCAACCAACAGGTATAACAGGATGGTGAACAGTGACATGGTTTGAAAATTTAGTTAGTTTTTGTGATGAAACTACGATAACATTTGATCAACATAAAGTGTTAATATTTATGACTGAATCAAAATTTGTAACATTATTTGTTTATAAATACGACAAGTGTATAGTATACGGTTATTCGTTATGCCTAAAGGTTCAATGTTGTGTACCGTTACAATATGAACTAAAAACATGTGGTTCATTAAGTTAAAACTAAAACTATTCCGTGGGTGTCTGTGTTGCCCTTTGCCTTTTGTCAGGGAACTGAACCATTGCGAACGCATGTGAAAGTTGTGGTTTCAGCAGAGATGCCATTTCATGTCAAAATCTAGAACCACTTATAATATATAGGACAAAATTACAAAGTTAATAGATGGATTCAAGAAACAAAAGCTTTAGGTTACTGCTTTCAAGAAGAAATAGCTGCTTACAGCTGAGCATGTCTTCGCGTTCAAATTGTCAACAAAGTAAGGAATATAAACAATATAAACTGCTACTGGCATTTGTGAAATAAAAAAATTGTATTCTAAAAAAATATCATAAAACTTTCTCTGTGTCCCTTTCGAATTTCCCTTTCCGCCATTTATACATTTGTGATAAGTGTTCATTTCTCTATTCGGTGAATAACAGCAAGAATAATTTCGATTAAATGAAAAAAGTGACGCCTAATAATTAAAGTAATTTACAAATGAGCTTCTAATTAACGCTACGCACTAGGATTTGACTTGCATCTATAGGAGGTCACTTTCTCGCGACATTTCAAACAGCCAATCATCATCGAGCTTTTACAAATTTTAAAAAAGCGATCTGGGTTTTAAATTTAACCGCTGAAAATTTTTAAATTTCACAATTTCGAGAACAAGCATGGCATGTAAACCGGCAGAACAATCTTGCCCATTAAAAGTTGAGTCTATTATTTCCAGTATATTTGTTTCAAATTACTTGAAACAATTTGATTTCTGACAAAAATCAACAATATGTTTTGTTCCCACGGACAGCGATATTTTGAAACTTCTTCTTATGCCCATATGTGAAGGACGGTTTTTGAGTGCATGGCTAAAAACAAGTTTATCGGGAAATTCGAATCACAATGAAGGTGGCAATCAGGTCAACATATGCAAGAAATAACTTAAGTATATCAGATAAGGTGTCGGTGTGACTTAACATCATACAAAACTTACTGGTCTTTGAATGTTTAGAATCATGCAAAAAATATAGAATAAATAAATATTATTCCCAATTTGTGTAAAACATTGTTCTATTTTTCATACGATGCAAAGTCAAAAATAAGACAAGAGGTATATTTTGCCATCTTTGCGTTTGTTTTTTATGTCGATCTGCTGAAGATGTGATACGTTATATTCATTTGGGATGAAACGAGTTGTAAAAGTCCATTCTTTTAAATGGTGTCTTTCTATTAAAATGAAAGTTTCAGATGCCTAAATAATTGTTAGAATTGTAATTAACGACTACAACTACAATGATATATCTTCATTAAAGATAAGTTCCAATTGAAGGATTATATTCAAGAGTTCTAAGAGCGAACATATTTTCAAAAGATCCTACATGAGAAAAAACAAAATGTTGAAATAATTCATATAGCTTTGATTTTTATCAACATGTGCCGCTTAATACACTGTGTGGCTTTTTAGGTGTTTTTTGCTGTTGTTGATGTTGTTGTTTTAAGAGGATATTTTAGGACGCTTTTTACAGAGATTCTTATTACCTTATTCCTGTACCTTTAATACCTTTTTCGCTCGGTTTAACATATTCTACTTCATACATATGAAATAAGTTCTTCATTCAAATAAGCTTGAGTGTCAAAACCTGTTGCTTTTCATGACACATTAATTGGAAATGTGTTTACTTTTATCGAAACTGGAGTGAAACCCGATGAAGAATACATTTTTAACAATAAACATTATAGTTCGTAAACCCATTATGTTGGTTTTGTCGTCACGCGGCTCAAATACAGGTGAGCATATTATTGACATTCGCTTTTGACTAAATGCACTTAGAGCCACACAACTAACCATTATTCAATGGGAAAAAATAGATTTCATTATCACCGTCGTCATCGGAATTATTCAATGAAAGTTATTGGCTGAATATGACTTCAAATAGTTGAATCAATTGTAAACCTTTTATAAAGAAAAAATGCTCATCTTTTGCAGATTTCAATAAACGACAAAGTATTAAAAAATTGATCACTGCCAATCCCTTCAACACATAACAATGGTCGCTGTAAAATATGGACCTTCAATGAAATATCTGCCAAAGGCATTCGAAACAAGGATTAATCCTATTGATTAAACAATATTGCGAATACTAGCTCGATTTAGTTCTGATAAACTAGTTGATGGAAATGGTTTTGTAACATCGTTTATGTCAAAGTTTTGCAATTATGCGTCTCGTTTAATACTTTAGTACATTCCTTTTAAACACACTCATACACGGATTTATATTACAGGATTTATATTACAGGGATCGGACACTCCAAGTTAACCCTATATAAATGCTTTAATATCTTGTCGTGCACCCGATAAAGGTACATCGATCGATAATTTACCGGCGCTAAGCGTAAATGCCCGTTCGCAACGGATACCTACTTTACAAAATACCATACAGCTTTTCCATTTATTATCCGATTTTGGAGATTTAAAGTTTATTTTAAGAAAAATACTTGTTTAATTCAAATATCTAATTTATTTTTTAAAGGTACAGTTTATCTGTCCGCAACGACGGTTAAAAAATTAACTTGACGAAATCCGCGGTAAATTTACATTTTTTATATAAAAAGCAGGTATTTGAAATTTATTATTACGGTACCATAATACTTTCAGTTTCAAAATAAAAAAGAAGCCGAAGTAAGTTATTCACAGATGATCAAAGATGCAATATTTAAGAATTTATTGGGTTATGTAGTCAAATTTATTAACGCACAATTGTTTTACGGGTAATGTATTGCGGCCTTTACACGTGAAGAAAATTTATTCATTTTTTTAATACAAAATATTGCCGAGATTGTCAATATTGCCATATTCATAGAATATTTAAATTTCATTCATCATTTATATCATTATTATTTTTTGTAAATCTGTTTTCAAATGTCGGTGGCAGTGAAGTAAACAATCATCGTAACAGTAAAGTTCTCTCGTGTGGCTGTCTCGATTCCGGCCTGTTTAATGTCACTCGTATATTTTAATCCGTATATTTTGATTATTCTTTTTATTTGAATGCCTGTAGAAAGATATTTATGATACTTATTAATGTAACGCTAGAAAAACAATAAAAATCTTTACAGTTTGAGTCAGTATTTTGCGAAATAAAAGTAACTGTTGATTATTTTTTTACACATCGCTTAAATTTCTTTCAAGTTTAATTACTTTTGAAGGGGGTAAGTGATAATTAAAAAACTTTATTTCCAAACTTTCATTACCAGGTTACATGTGATAATTGCAACACTCAATCTTCAAAAACAAATAGAATTTGAATGTATACAATGTATTTTGTATATGCGCGGTCTTTAATTACAGTCCATGGCATATGTGGTAAGAAAATGATTCTGAAGAGGATATATATAAATACAATTTAAATCTATTTTCTTTATTAACATTTATAAATGAAATTGAAAATATACAACTAAATTTGTATAGTGCTTTCTCTGAAAATAATGAAAACAAACATGTGATAAATAAATCATTTGACGTGAATCGTTAAGGATAACCATGAAAAAATTATGTTTCAAAATAAAAAATAATATTATAAAACAGCTGTTCTCTATGCCAATAAAAGTTTCTTCCTTGCCAATCTAATGAATTCATCTATATAGGAATGCTTGTCTAGAATGGTCTGAAAATATATTTAATACACTTATTAGTAGAATATTTACTATATTTATACTAATATACAGGTAATCAAATAAAAAATGTACAAATCATTTGGAAATAATTCACAGAAATAAAGACACATTTCAAACATGAATTTCTTTAAAAGTTTTTTAGCAATCAAGAAACATTTTTTGCAATGCCATCATTAAACCATGTTAAAAATAATTATCTTATTCTGAATCGCGGTAAAAATTCGTGCTTGAAGTAAAAGGGCGGCGAAGTGTAGAGAGTATGCCTAAACAATAGGCGAATATTTTTCAAATTAGGTACTTTTTAACTAAGCGTTGCAGCGTTCTATCAGCATATTTTCATATATTAATACTTTAGCGACACAAAATAATACTGCATCAATACATTCATATGTGTATAATTTTTCACAAAGCTGCAATAACACCACATACTCCGGTGAAAATCTGTCATATTTCGTACTCCGCGCATTCCGCCATCTCATTCTGTCCACCTTTATCCGATTCCGCGCATGCGCGCGACGGGACTTTAAGCTAAACGAAAGTGTCCGATCCTTGTAATATAAATCCGTGACTCATATCACTCAGGAAATAAAAGCATCGTTGACTTCGTTGACTAATTTTATGTCATTCGGTTATTCTCACTCTGATTAATCCTGTTTATGTCTCAACAGAAATACATTTGTATAGTTGTTATTGCTGTTTCAAACCCACAAAACGTGACAAATACAAAATCAATACAGGATATGGTCAGTTACAGGGTACATTTCCTGTCCAGTAGGTAACCTTTTTCATCGATCACGGTATTTGGGCTATTCACAAATGAAATTTCATTTGCATCGGCCAGACGTGGCATCATACTCTGTACTAGATCATTTTAGGCTTTCACCTCCCAGCGTGACCTTGACCTTTAAGGTAGGGGTCAGGGTGTTGCGCATGACACATCGTCTCGATTGATGAAAAAGTTATATACCGGACACAAAATATACCCCAGAACAAACATGTTAATCTTTTACCTCCAAGTGTGACTTTGACCTTAGAGGTAGCGGCCAGGGTGCATGACACATCGTCTTATTATTGTCAAAATTTGGGTTAAGTAAATTCAAAATCCCTTGATCTATGAAAACGTTATGGACGGGACACAAAATGTATTCTTTAATAGTCCATGTTAAGCTTTGATCTTAAAGTATGACCTTGACATTGGAGGTAAAAGTTTAGGTGTTGCGCATGACTGTACTATCATTTTAGGCTTTGACCTCAAAGCGTGACCTTGATCTTTTAGGTAGGGGTCTGAGTGTTGCGCTTCTCAACATTTGTGCCAAGTTATTTCAAAATCCCTTGATAGATTAAACAGTTATATGCCGGACACAAAATATACCCAAGAACAAAAATATTAATCTTTTATCTCTAAGTGTGACCTTGACCTTAGAGATAGCGGTCAGGGTGTTATGCTTATTATTGTCAATATTTCGGTTAGGTAATTTCATAATCCCTTGATCTATGAAAAAAGTTATGGACGGGACACAAAATGTATTCTTGAACAGATCAAGTAAAGCTTCGGTCTAAAATGTAGGCATCTGAATGTTGCACACGACACATTGTCTTTTTATTGTAATCATTTATGCCAAATAATTTCAAAATCCCTTGATCTATGAAGAAGTTATAGATCGGACAAGAAGGTTTGACGAACGGACAGACGGACGGAGCCTATTTCTATATCCCCCATTTTTCTTCGAAAAGTCGGGGAACAAAAAGAACCATAAAATATTTGGGCTCAATTTGCACGGAGAAATTTTGCCTCGCCCGAGGTTTGAGCATGCGATCCCTGAGTAACAAGTCTGATGTATTTAACCTTTAATCAAATGGAATCGAAAGTGGTAAATTTTTAACGTGCAGTTTGACCAGATTTTATACTGCTAGTATGCGCTTGTTTTATATTTTCGTATTAAAGTCCCATATGATTTAAAAGGACTGCTTGGCAACACCAAAACACACAATTTTATTTCAGCAAATTATTGGTTAATAGTCCTAACATAGAGTAATTTAAGTGTATCCTGACATAGAATAACTGAAGTGTGTCCTGACATAGAAGACTTTAAAAGTGTCCTAAGATAGAATCATTTAAATGTGTACTGACATAGAATTATTCAAATGCGTCCTGACATAGAATAATTTAAATGCGTCCTGACATAGAATAATTTAAATGCGTCATGACATAGAATAATTTAAAAGTGTCCTGAGATAGAATAATTTAAATGCGTCCTAGCATAGAATAATTCAAATGT